TTATTAGAAGGAGAAGATGCATATATGGACTTCATGGTGTGCTGCGCACAAAACCGATTTTCACACAAACGAACAGGGAAGCACAAACAGGCGCAGAAGTAAAACAAAGGAAAGAGCCTGATGTACAAAAAATTATTTGCAGAATATTGTTTTTCGTAGTTTTCAAAAGTGAACAACGACAAAAAAGTTGAATGGCGAATGTAAAAACGGCGCTTAGACATTTCGTATTCCTGTTCAGTGTGACACAATGTTTCCACCTTCTTGCTTTCCCACGTTGGTGATGTTGCCGGTGTTATCACCATCGCCGTGCGTCACTGTTGCGCCAGCCGATGGACACAGCAGTGGATGCTGCAGGAGTAAAAGACCACGGGTATGCCGCTGTATAGTAAGCGACAAGCATCCGACGCCACGAGGATCGCGTTTATCGCGAGAATTCGCGTGACAAGCAAGAAAAGAGCAACGCTGAATGGCTGATGCCATCCGAAGTGGTGCCGAGCGCCAATTCATCACCACTGGACCCTGCGGCTCGCGATGCACAAAGACGCCAATGACAGGCGTGATTCATCGGTCGTTTTCCGGAGCAGAAGAGGCAGCTGGAGGTGCAGTGCTCTCACGACAAAAGACGTCTGTCTTTGCACTCACATTTTGTGCTCTTCATTTGAATTGTCCAAGACTGACACGTTGTGTCAGTGGATAAAGCAAAATAGAAAGCGTGAAACGGGAGATTGAAGCGCCCGAACCTCCGAGAAAAGGAAGGCCGAGTTTGATTCAGCGACTCAGCAGGTTTTACTCAGCGGCGTACGTTTTTTTGTCACCATCACGTCAACACCCATAGCGTCCGCAGAGGACTGCTGATGTATGAAATTGATGAAAGTGCACCTTCGTTGTTACCGTCTTCACCAACATCAATGTCCCTTCATTTTCTAAGACCGCTGTAGAAAGAAGATCTTTTCCGTGCCATTGCTCCTATCAGACTTCTCCAACGTCCTTCCTTTCTGCAAATTTTCTAAAATCGTCACCCCATTGAATGTTTGAGTCAAATTTGTGTTAAACGAGCAAAAAAAAAGTAACTTGCGGTTGCGGGGGACAGGCCACAATGTTCGAACAATTTCTGCGACTACGATGCATAAATTTTCCTTTTCAATTTCAGTAACTTCAAACGCATCACCAAGATATCTGCTCTCGGTGAGCTTTTCAAGAAGTCCGCGTGATATCGACCTATTCGACTTGTGAATGTCGTTTGCACGCTTCGACTATAATTCCACAGAAGCTAGTGTGAAAAAAGCTATGCGTCATACCAACTCTCCAGTTTAAGTTGGACGGCCATGTGTATGCTCCGGGAATGGTAAACTTTGTAATAATAATAATATTAATAATAATAATAATAATAATAATAATAATAATAATATAATGTTGAGCTCTACGTGACAAAACTACGGTATGATTATGAACCACGCACGCCGTAGTGCCTCATAATCTATTTAAAAACCATTAGAATGCGGTATTTAATTATACGGGCTGCCTAATCTGACAATCTACACGAATTTTAGCCGAAGAAACAGGTTTTCCTGTGATACAAGGGCGGGCATAAAATGATCTTCCTCCATGCAGCTGAAGAGTAGTCGTATATTATATATTAGAAAAATATTCCAGGTAGATTTACATGCCAAAACAATGATACAGTTATAAGATTCGTTGTAGTAAGAGAGTCCGCATTAATTTAGCTCCGATGGAAGCGAAAAGGCTTTCGGCTCGTGCAATTGAATGCACGTGTACTTGGTGCACGTCAAAGAACCCCAGATGGTCGATGTTTCTAGAGACTATGGCGTGCCTCATAAGCAAACTGTGGTTTTGGGATGTTACATAATACTAATTTATATATTATTATTATTATTATTATTATTATTATTATTATTATTATTATTATTATTATTATTATGAAATTTGGCCCAAACAAGCAGTTTGTACGCCGTAGCAAAGTACGTAAAATTCTGCATATATTCAAAACCTCACACTTGTTCTTAGCAGTTAGTAATATATATTAGTGTAACCAAAATACAACATAACTCAATTTAAACAAACAATAGTGAATGAGGCGCCGATAAAACGTATAGATAAAAAATAGAAAAAGAAAGGCAAAATTATTTGAAAAAACACATATAATTACCATAGAAGCATAATTATTATTTCATTTGGCTGCTAATTAAGGCATTACCAAGCGATTGAGTGGCCGCATTTGCCGCTATTCGTGCGCAGTTATTATGCGCAGCGAGAAAAACAAGTGCGACGATGAATTGCGATGGTGCGAGGTGGCGTCGTCCGCGTCTGATGTTTCCAGGTGGTTAATAAGTGTTGAAAGAAACAGGTATCGCACGTGGTAAAAGGGGGAGCTTGATTATGTCGTCGTGAAGCACTGTTATCTCTTTGTGTTATTTGGTTTGTTTCGCGATAAACATGACGACAACATAAAAAAACGTACTAGTTGGGTTTCCTGGTTGCACGTATACCTGAAGCAAGGAACTGCACAAGAAACAACAGTGCATACAGAAGAAGACGCACAGGGTGTTGTGTGTGTCTTCCTCCGAGCTCCTGCCGTTTTTGGCGATTTTCTGCAAAGAATGTACTTGGCTTTCTTTTTTTCCCCTCTTAAAAGCGGTCGTCTGTTTGAGCATTCGCAAGGATGGACTGTTTGCCGTGTTGGTGAAAAATGTTCATGAAGTTAAGCGCGGAATCAGAATGACGAGGACGGGACAGGAATAACAAACTTTCAATGATGATTTATTGGAAGCTGTATCACCTAATATATACATAAAAATGACGAATGCTCACACATGTGCAAATACGGTGGCATCAAGAAATGACAACTTTTTTTCTGTATAATGATAATAAAGGTGTGCTTACACATTCTTGGCCTATGTATTGTATAGCCGATTCTACGATCAACCACGCAATTTCATCTTTGTACATGCGTACAACCGAGAACTTGTCGAAAAACAGGCGGACACCCACACGCGCAAGAATACGTTTGTGCTCTCCCTGTCGTGCCCTCGTCATTTCAGTGTCACGCTTCACTTTATGAAAATGTTCGTGTATTTCTCACAGATCGGGTTTTTATCAGTCTGTGTCAACAAAGTCATTCGTACGGGAATCACATGAGGCCTGCACTTGTGCATGAACCACCCAGCTTTGCGCGGCACATATTCTAGTTCTGACATAATTTTTCTGCGTGGGAACCAAATGATCGCGACTTGTAATGCACAACGGACAAATGTATAAACAATTAGTACAATGTGGTTCGCAGCAAAGACTAGGCAACGTGCAAGAAATGAAGGTTTGCGTGAGTTCTTAGTCCTTGCATGACGCTCTCTGCGTGTTGTTAAATATTACAAGAAAAAGGCAAATAATTGACGAGCTCATGAAGCGAGCGGTGTGTGTCTCGGACTGGACTGATTTAGAACGACCAGCAATGGATGCGTTGCAGTGGTGCTCTGGGTAATGAAGTCGCCCCCTTTTTCAATCTTCTCCACGAGGAGGCTTAGTAAAACGCATAATCTAAGACAGAGATACTGCAGGGATCTCAGGAAAGAGTTTAGTAAGCCCGACTTCTGTATGACACGCGTCCTAAATAAACACGGTCGTGAACATCGCGTATAGCGATTCTTCGCGAATTCGTTCCATAAACAACAACTTAGTTTAAGACCACTATCAACTACGCCGTTGGTACACACTTGTTGCGTATGAAATGACCCGAACTGCGTAGATGTTTCCAAGTCGTGGGACTCTCACAGTTTTCATGATTACATACACGAGCATCTTGAATTGGGCAGTGACTTCCGCGTTTTCAGAGTGTCTTTTCTATATAGCTATGCGCCACCATAGCGTATCTACAGCTCAACTTCTATGTTGAATGTTTCAAGTGAAGGCTAAGAAGCTAGGTAAGAATACTTACACACGACGCCATTTGCAAGATGCTCTGATTCTGTAGTTGTTTTATTTAGGTCGTGCTTTCATGAATCTATAGAGAATTATTAGCACATGTGCAGAGAGCAGTACGCGCTTTGAAAATGAAGTTATTACGTAAACAGCGTTATAGAATATGACACATGTTGACTCATATATTAATAATAATAATATGTGGGGTTTAACGTCTCAAAACTACCGTATGAATATGAGAGACGCCATAGTGGAGGGCTCCGGAAATTTCGACCAGCTGGGGTTCTTTAACGTGCACCCAAATCTGAGCACACAGGCCTACAACGTTTCCGCCTCCATCTCAAGTGCAGCCACCAGCCGGGATTCAATCCCGCATCCTGCGGGTCAGCAGCCGAGTATCTTAGCCACTAGACCACTGTGGCGGGGCAGCAAATAGTCATGGTTTACATGACACGCCGGTCATAATTATCACTGGTGGGCTTGGTGTCTGTGCCACTGCACGGATCACTAATCAATTCGCTCCCGCTATGCAGATGGTCCGTTACGTCATCGCTCATCTGCTGCTACCTGCGCTTGCGCATGCGGTAGCGCCGGCGGAACATGGCTTCAGCTGTCCTGGAAGCGACGAAGGCAGCGCATGCCCTCTGCCTATCGTCAAATGCCTGGCTCGACCAGAAGAGGGACTCTGGGCAGCTGAGCTCAACCAAGCCTGGACGGTTGCATCATCATCGACATCCACGAGCCCGACACCTATAAAAGAACAAGGACCTTCAACGGAGCGCTGTGGGCTTGGTGTCTGTGCCACTGCACGGATCACTAATCAATTCGCTCCCGCTATGCAGATGGTCCGTTACGTCATCGCTCATCTGCTGCTACCTGCGCTTGCGCATGCGGTAGCGCCGGCGGAACATGGCTTCAGCTGTCCTGGAAGCGACGAAGGCAGCGCATGCCCTCTGCCTATCGTCAAATGCCTGGCTCGACCAGAAGAGGGACTCTGGGCAGCTGAGCTCAACCAAGCCTGGACGGTTGCATCATCATCGACATCCACGAGCCCGACACCTATAAAAGAACAAGGACCTTCAACGGAGCGCTGTGGGCTTGGTGTCTGTGCCACTGCACGGATCACTAATCAATTCGCTCCCGCTATGCAGGTTGGTGAGCCCTACGTTGTCTTTTCGAAAAGATCTGGTAATTACTTTCTGGTACAGCTGCCAAGCCCGCATTGCTGTATGGTTATTATTGCCGAGTGTGTCCATGTAATTCGTGCACTACTAATTCTAGCTGGAGATGTTGAAACTAACCCTGGCCCTTCAAATATCTCTGAGAACCTTCTTGCTGAATTGCGTAAGCTATCTACAGGTCAAACACAACTAATTGCAGAAGTACAGGGCTTGAAGTCTCAGCTCGGTAACACCGATAAAACAATTGGCGAACTGAACAAAAGATTATCAGACCTTGAAAGTCATTATCAGTCTCTGGTACCACTTCGAAAAGAAATAGAAGTCCTGCGCGTTAACACGGAGCAGACCTCCTGCAGAATCTTTGCACTAGAAGCCCGTATTGATGACGCTGAAAATCGCTCAAGGCGAAACAACCTAATATTTTACGGTATCCCGGACCCTTCCGCATCTGAAACATTTTCTGAATCGGAGCGGCTGGTAATGAATCTTTGCCGGGACACCTACAGGTTCACTTAGAACCAAGAGATATCGAACGCGCGCATCGTCTCGGTCGACATTCACCTGAACGCTCCCGGCCCATAATCGTGAAGATTGCTCTGCACAAGACAAAAACTGCAATATTATCGAATGGTCGCAAGCTTAAGGGGACAAGTTACGGCATAGGTGAAGACTTCTCACGCTCAGTCCAAAATGCTAGAAAACAACTAATTGCTTTTGCGAGAAGTAACAACAAGCCATTTTCAATGCACTTCAAAACACTGCACATGAATCAGAAGCGCTACATTTTCGACGCCGAATCAAACACCGTCAAAGAACTATCGTAGCAATCAAGCCACCGGGAAAAAAAAACGACCGCTGTTGCGGTTACTAGCAAAACTCTTTCACTTTCTGTTATTACACTAACATTCGCAGTTTCCTACCCAAACGGGAACTTATATCTAGCACTGTATCATCCTCTGAAAGCAATGTGCTATTACTTACCGAAACGTGGTTAACTGATGACATCCGTGATGACGAAGTTCTGTCAGAATTACCAAACTTCCAGTTGTACAGGAATAACCGCGCATCTACTCGTGGTGGCGGTGTACTCATTGCTGTTCACGAGCAATTATCTTGCTCAGTCGTACATATTAAAACAGAGCTAGAAATGCTCTGGGTACTTATTAAGGCACATCCTCAGTCCGTTGTACTGGGCGTTTGCTACCGACCACCCCGTGCTAGTTCCAATTTTAGCAACCAACTTAATCAGGCCATGTGCCAGCTCACGTCTGCTCATCCAAACGCGCACGTACTTTTATTCGGTGATTTTAACTTCCCACAAATAGAATGGCCCACCAGCAATGTGCATTCATCTACGGGTGTAGGTGAAGCTAATGCGTTTCTTGATATTTGCCTAAACTTCAACATGACCCAACTAGTCACAGAGCCAACACGTGTATCGCAAGATACAGCCAGTGTCCTGGATCTGATACTAACCAACAATCCTGAAAGCCTGTCACGCATTCACTATCTACCCGAAATCAGTGACCATAAGACAATTCACGCCACTTTTTCTTTTCAACCGCTTAAACGAGAAACCTACAAAAAAACGATCCATCTATATGACAGAGGGATTACGAAACAATAAACGAAGCTCTTAGCGCATTCTTCCACACTTTCCAAGCAACTTTACATCAACACACAGTAGATACGAATTGGACCCGCTTTATCGGTAAACTGACGGAGCTAACCGATAAATTCATACCTAAAGTCAGCTTCACAAGCACCTGCAACAAACCCTGGTTTACTAAAAATCTAAAACGCCTTGAAAATAAAAAGAAACGTTTATTCCGATCTGCCAAACGTGCAGGTCAACCGAGTGTATGGGATAGGTACTATGAGGCTGACCGCAATTATCTTTTAGCCCTGCGCAAAGCAAAAAACTTCTTCTATAACACAGACCTACCCAAGCTACTGCAGACTAATCCCAGACAGTTCTGGAAAACACTTAAGGCTGACAAACCGCGTGACACTGTACTAACCCTTGAATCTGGTGAAGCTATTACTGACGGGGAATGTGCGAATCTATTCAACGCTTCTTTTGCTACAGTTTTTACTGATGAACCAAGCATACACTCCCGCATACCTTCACTTGGCTTTAATTGTAATCATGACATGCCAGCAATCAATTTCTGCGCAAATGGAATATTGTCTATAATAGAAAAAATGAAATTGTCATCCTCTGCGGGCATGGATGGTATCAATTCCAAAATTCTAAAAAATGTTAAAGAGAGTGCTTCGCTTTTTCTTGCTCTAATATTTTCCCAGTCCCTTTCCTCAGGAATCATCCCATGTGACTGGAAGATAGGGAAGGTCGTTCCGGTCTTCAAATCAGGCGATAGAAACTCTCCACTTAACTATCGCCCCATCTCCCTAACAAGCGTCCCCTGCAAGATCATGGAGCATGTCATCTACTCCCACATAATGAATTTTCTCGACAGCAATAATTTTTTTCACCCTTCACAACACGGCTTCCGCAAGGGGTTGTCGTGTGAAACACAGCTGGCAGCCTTCTTGCATGACATTCATACTAACCTCGACGTTAACGTGCAAACTGATGCCGTTTTTTCTTGATTATGCTAAAGCATTCGATAAGGTGCCTCATCAACGATTGTTCGCTAAACTTTCCCAACTAAATTTACATCCCACCGTCATAAAATGGATAATAGAGTTCCTTACTAATCGATCACAACGCGTCGCTGTAAATAACCACCTGTCTACTGCCATCCCAGTAACATCAGGTGTCCCTCAAGGCTCCGTCCTTGGCCCGCTACTATTTTTAATCTATATTAACGACTTACCTTTGCATGTAACCAGTAATATACGTATGTTCGCAGATGACTGCGTTGTCTACCGCACAATACTAAACACCTCTGACCAGTTAACCTTAGAGAACGATCTTACTAACATTTCGAAATGGTGTACCACTTGGTTAATGACACTAAACGTAAATAAATGCAAAACTATGTCATTTACGCGTAGCAATAATCCGCTCATGTTTCCGTACACAATCAACAGCTTACCCCTAGAACTGACTAACTCTTATAAATACCTAGGTGTCACCGTGACTAGCGATCTGATCTGGCGTACGCATGTCCAAAACATCATTTCATCGTCTAACAAAACCTTAGGCTTTTTAAAACGTCACCTCAAAAGTGCTCCAATGCAAGTAAGATTACTTGCCTACACATCACTAGTGCGACCGAAATTGGAATACGCATCCGCCATCTGGGACCCGCACCAAGCATACCTCATCTGCGCTCTAGAATCAGTTCAAAACCGTGCAGCTCGCTTCATTCATTCTTCGTATTCATACGACATCAGCGTCACATCACTAAAATTACTATCCAATCTTCCATCGCTCGCTCTTCGTCGGCGCATTTCTTCTCTTTGTCTTTACCATAAATTTTTTCACAGTTCAATCCTGCATCAACCATCTTACATCAAACCCGCAACACGCATATCAGCCAGGACAAGCCACACGCAGCAGGTTTCATTAATGCGCGCTCGAACATCAACATTTCTCGCGTCATTTTTTTCCCGCACAGCAAAAGACTGGAACGACCTCCCTTTTTCCATTGTCGACATAATATGTCCATCTTCTTTTGCACAACATGTCACTGACCATCTTCTAACAATAACTTTAAGTGCTTTTTTGAATTACATGTTGGTTACGTGTGTTATTTATTGTACATGCATATTTCCTTGTAATATGAAGAAATGTATATAGTTGAAACCCATGTATTGATTACGTTTGTTAAATATTATTCCCACCCCTTATGTAATACCCCCATTGGGGGTCTTTAAGGAAAATAAACTGACTGACTGACTGACTGACTGATCATGTTCAAACGTGTCGTTTACTTCCGTCGTCCATTCATGTCGCGTAATACCAAATTTGGTGTATATGAAGCCAGCGGTATGGCCGCGATTGGGCTATGAGCGTAGCAAATAGTCATGGTTTACATGACACGCCGGTCATGATTATTATGTTTAAATGTGTCGTTTACTTCCGTCGTCCATTCATGTCACGTAATACCAAATTTGGTGTATATGAAGCCAGTGGTATGGCCGCGATTGGGCTATGAGCGTAGCAAATAGTCATGATAGATATGTGGGGTTTAACGTCCCAAAACCACCACATGATTATGAGAGACGCCGTAGTGGAGGGCTCCGTAAATTTAGACCACCTGGGGTTCTTTAACGTGCACCCAAATCTGAGCACACGGGCCTACAACGTTTCCGCCTCCATCGGAAATGCAGCCGCCGCAGCCGGGATTCGATCCTGCATCCTGCGGGTCAGCAGCCGAGTATCTTAGCCACTAGACCACCGCGGCGGGGCAGCAAATAGTCATGGTTTACATGACACGCCGGTCATGATTATTATGTTCAAACGTGTCGTTTACTTCCGTCGTCCATTCATGTCACGTAATACCAAATTTGGTGTATATGAAGCTAGCACAAAGGCCGCGAGCACATCATGAGTGTGGCGTGTAGTCATGACTTACATGACATGCATGCCATGATTTCCACGTTAGGGTCTGTCACTTATATTCCCCATGCAGTTATGCAATACTATACCAGATTTGCAGTATGCCATGTGAACGCAACGACGGGAAGAGCTGCAAGACCATGAAATGTAAAGCATGATATTCATGACACACATGTCATTATTTTAATGGTATGACTAGTCACTTTTGCTCGTCATACAGTCATGTTATGCCTCCAATTTTGGTATCGATGCCATTATTGATGTGGCTAGATAGATAGATAGATAGATAGATAGATAGATAGATAGATAGATAGATAGATAGATAGATAGATAGATAGATAGATAGATAGATAGATAAGATCGATAGATAGATCGATAGTAGATAGATAGATAGATAGATAGATGGATGGTGATGGATGGATGGATGGAGGTGAGGATGGATGGATGGATGGATGGAGGGATGGATGGATGGATGGATGGATGGATGGATGGATGGATGGATGGATGGATGGATGTGATGGATGGATGGATGGGGGATGGATGGAGGATGGATGGATGGATGGATGGATGGATGGATGATCGGATGGATGGATGGATGGATGGATGGGATGGATGGATGGATGGATGGATGGTATGGATGGATGGATGGATGGATGGATGGATGGATTGGATGGATGATGGTGGAGGGATGGATGGAGGATGGATGGATATGGATGGATGGACGGGGGGATGGTGGATGGATGATGGATGGATGGATGGATGGATGATGGATGGAGGGATGGATGGATGGATGGATATGGATGATGGATGGATGGATGGATGATGGAGGATGGATGGATGGATGGATGGATGGATTGGATGGATGGATGGAGATGGATGGATGGATGGATGGAGGATGGATGGATGGATGGATGGATGGATGGATGGATGGATGGATGGATGGATGGATGGATGGATGGATGGATGGATGGATGGAGGATGGATGGATGGATGGATGGATGGATGGATGGATGGATGGATGGATGGATGGATGGAGGATGGATGGATGGATGGATGGATGGATGGATGGATGGATGGATGGATGATGGATGGATGGATGGATGGATGGATGGATGGATGGATGGAGGATGGATGGATGGATGGATGGATGGATGGATGGATGGATGGATGGATGGATGGATGGAGGATGGATGGATGGATGGATGGATGGATGGATGGATATGGATGGATGGATGGATGGATGGATGGATGGATGGATGGATGGATGGATGGATGGAGGATGGATGGATGGATGGATGGATGGTGGATGGATGGATGGAGGATGGATGGATGGATGGATGATGATGGATGGATGGAGGATGGATGATGGATGGATGGATGGATGGGATGGATGGATGGATAGCCTCAAAGTCGCCGAAGTTCTCTTCATTCCAGCAGCTTCATTCAACAACTTCATTCCAGCAGAGCTACATGTCGTCCAAGTTGCTATTTTTTTGTTCAGTGAAAAGCTTAGCACAATCCATTTGAAGATTTCTCTTTAGGAATTAATCTCCTAGGCTGATTGCGCAGCAGGCTACGTTGACGTACTCGGTAAGAGCTTATGCTGGGAGATTAGTCTTATATTTCTTCACTCTCTCTCTTCTTTTTTTTGTTTTTGCGGTGAAACTACTAGAAATATTCCGTGCTTTTTCTCAGTGAAACATCTCTAGCTACCTTCAAATTAAGTTGTGTAACATGTGTCTCAGTCATCTAGGCGAAGTGTATTGTACCCTATAGAGTTCCACGAGGTCAAATTAAAGTAACGAATCAACTCGCGACCACTGCGTTTGGTTCTAGA